GGAAGAAACAGATAACATTCAAAGGAAAGCCAATCAGGCTGACATCAGACTTCTCTGAAGAAACACTACGGGCAAGGAGAGAATGGAGGGACATAGTCAACAGACTCCAAGAAAACAGATGCCAACCAAGAATACTCTATCCCGCAAAGCTCTCCTTCCTCTTTGAAGAAAGAATATGGACCTTCCCAGACAAACAGAAACTCCGGAATTTCATTACAACTAAACCCCCACTCCAAAAAATACTACAAGGAGACCTAAAGCCAGAACCTCAGAGGGACGAATAACAATGAAAGAAGGCCAAAAAAAAAAAAGTTATTAAAAGAATAAATAAATAAAATCAAAGGAAAGACCATCACAATGGCAAATACAGATGCTAACATATCAATATTAACTCTAAATGTAAATGGACTAAACTCTTCAATAAAAAGACACAGAGTTGCAGCCTGGATTAAGAAACAAAACCCAACCTTTTGCTGTCTCCAGGAAACACATTTAGCTACAAAAGATAAAAATAGGCTCAAAGTTAAAGGATGGAAAACAATCCTACAAGCAAATGGACCAAAAAAGAAAGCAGGAACAGCTATACTTATATCAGATAAAACAGATTTCAAACTCAAAAAGATAAAAAGAGACCCCAATGGTCACTACATTATGATCAAGGGGACAATACTTCAAGAAGAAATAACACTTATTAACATATACTCACCAAATGAAGGAGCACCAAAATATATCAGACAACTATTGTCCTCTCTGAAAACAGACATCAGAGAAAACACATACGTAGTGGGAGACTTCAACACACCACTATCAACAATGGATAGATCAACAAGACAAAAAATAAGTAAAGAAACCAAAGCTCTAAATAAGGACCTAGAGCAATTGGGCTTAACAGACATCTATAGACCACTAAACCCCAAAAAAATGGAGTACACATTTTTCTCAAGCGCACACGGATCATTCTCCAGGATCGATCACATACTGGGGCACAAGACAAACATCAACAGATACACCAAGATTGAAATCATACCAACCATCTTTTCTGACCATGAAGGCATCAAACTAGAAATAAACCATAAAAAGAAGGCAAGGAACTTTCCTACCTCATGGAGATTAAAAACCACACTACTGGAAGACCACTGGACTAATGAGGAGATCAAAGAAGAAATTAAAAAATTCTTTGAATTGAACGACAAGGAGGACACCAATATCCTAAATGTATGGGATGCAGCAAAAGCAGTAATAAGAGGAAAATATATAGCAATAGAAGCTCACATCAAGAAACAAGAAAGAACTCAAAGAAACAACCTAATCTCGAAGCTCAAAGACCTAGAAAAAGAACAACAAAAAAACCCCAAAACCAGTAGAAGAAAAGAAATAATAAAAAGCAAAGCAGAAATAAATGAAATTGAAACTAAAAAAACAATCCAAAAGATCAATGAAACCAAGAGCTGGTTCTTTGAAAAAATCAATAAAATAGACAAACCCCTAGCCAGGCTCACAAAGGAAAAAAGGGAGAAAGCACAAATAAACAGGATCATCAATGAAAGAGGAGAAATCACAACGGACACAGCAGAAATCAAAAGAATAATCAGTAACTACTATGAACAGTTATATGGAAACAAGTTTAACAATCTAGAGGAGATGGACAAATTCCTACAACTCTACAATCACCCAAAGCTTGATAAAGAAGAAATAGAACACCTAAACAGACCAATTACAAGCAGCGAAATTGAAATGGTAATCAAAAACCTCCCCAAAAACAAAAGCCCAGGACCTGATGGATTTACAAATGAATTCTACCAAACATTCAGGAACGAATTAGTGCCTATCCTTCACAAACTCTTCCAAAAAATTGAGAAGGAAGGGACAATACCAAACACGTTCTATGAAGCCAACATTACACTAATAGCAAAACCGAACAAGGACAACACAAAAAAGGAAAACTACAGGCCAATCTCCCTAATGAACACTGATGCAAAAATCCTCAATAAAATTTTAGCTATCAGAATCCAACAATGTATCCATAAGATAATTCACCACGACCAAGTAGGATTCATTCCAGGGACACAAGGATGGTTTAACATCCGAAAATCAATCAACGTTATCCAACACATCAACAAAAAGAAATATAAAAACCATATGATAATATCAATAGATGCTGAGAAAGCTTTCGACAAAGTGCAACACCCATTCATGATAAAAGCCCTTGAAATTCTTGGGATACAAGGAACACACCTCAACATCATAAAGGCCATCTATGAGAAGCCAACAGCCAGTATCATTCTCAATGGTGAAAAGCTGAAAGCAATTCCATTAAGATCTGGAACAAGACAAGGATGTCCACTCTCACCACTGCTTTTCAATATAATACTGGAAGTCCTAGCCAGAGCAATAAGACAAGAGAAAGACATCCAAGGAATCCAAATAGGAAAAGAAGAAGTCAAGCTATCACTATTTGCAGATGATATGATAATATACATAGAGAACCCCAAAAACTCTAGAGAAAAACTAATTCAACTCATCAATCAGTTCAGTAAAGTGGCAGGATACAAAATCAACAAGCAAAAGTCAGTAGCCTTCCTATACACAAACAATAAATCTGAAGAAGAAGAAATCAAAAAAACCATCCCTTTTTTTATTGAAACATAAAAAATCAAATATTTGGGAATAAATCTAACAAAAGAGGTAAAGGACCTATACAAAGAAAACTATAAAACACTGTTAAAAGAAATAGAAGAAGACACAAAGAAATGGAAAGACATCCCCTGCTCATGGATTGGAAGAATAAACATTATCAAAATGGCCATCCTCCCAAAAGCAATATACAGATTCAATGCTATTCCAATCAAAATTTCAATGTCATTCTTCAAAGAAATAGAACAATTATTGATGAAATTCATATGGAATCACAAAAAACCCCGAATAGCCAAAGCTCTCCTGAAAAAAAAAGAAGGGAATGGAGGCATCACACTCCCAGACTTCAAACTATACTACAAAGCCATAATCATCAAAACTGCATGGTATTGGAACAAGAACAGACATACAGACCAATGGAATCGAATAGAAAACCCAGAAATAAACCCACAGATTTATGGTCAACTAATCTTTGACAAAGGAGCAAAGACTATGCATTGGAGCAAAGAAAGTTTGTTCAATAAATGGTGCTGGGAAAACTGGGTCGCTACATGCAAAAGAATGAAGCTTGACCACTACCTCACACCATACACAAAAATCAACTCAAAATGGATTAAAGAACTAGACATAAGACCTGAAACCATAAAATATATAGAAGGAAATATAGGCGAAACACTACGTAATTTGCATATCAAAGACATCTTTACAGACACATCACCCAAAGCAGTGATAGTGAAGGCAAAGATCAACAGCTGGGACTACATCAAATTAAAGAGCTTCTGCACAGCAAAAGAGACAATAACAAAAACAAAGAGAAACCCCACCAACTGGGAGAACATTTTTGCACACAACACTAATGATAAAGGACTGATCACAAAAATCTGCAAAGAGCTGATGAGACTCAACAACAACAAAGAAAATAATCCAGTCAAAAAATGGGCAGAAGAGCTAAAAAGAAACTTCTCTGACGAGGAAATGCAAATGGCCAACAGGCATATGAAAAAATGTTCAACATCACTTGTCATCAGGGAAATGCAAATCAAAACTACCATGAGATACCATCTTACACCAGTGAGAATGGCACATATTAAAAAAACTAGCAACAACAAATGTTGGCGAGGGTGTGGAGAAAAAGGAACTCTTCTGCACTGTTGGTGGGAGGCAAACTGGTCCAACCACTATGGAGAGCTGTGTGGAGATTTCTGGACCTACTAAACATAGAGCTTCCATATGATCCAGCAATTCCACTCCTAGGTATTTACCCAAAGGACACAGAAACATCAATTCCAAAGAACACCTGCACCCCTATGTTTATAGCAGCACTGTTTACAATAGCTAAGCTTTGGAAACAACCCAAATGCCCAAAATAGATGACTGGATCAAGAAGATGTGGTACATATATACCATGGAATATTACTCAGCATTCAAAAAAGATAAACACATGCAATTTGCAGCAACATGGATGGCGCTGGAAGGGATCATGCTCAGCGAAATAAGCCAGAAAGAAAAAGAAAAATACCGGATGGTCTCACTCATAGCAGGAATCTAGAAAACTTAAATAAGGGACCAGGAAAATGAATAACTATAAGAAAGTGAAAATCAAAATCAACAAAAAACTATGAACCAGAGACACTTTTAGGGGGGCGGGGGCGGAAGGGGAGGGATTGGGGTCACAATGGGGGGGGGGCTGCAATTGTATGGGGAATATAAAAATAAAATTTATTATTCAAAAAAAAAAAAGAAAGGAAGCAAGCACTCTCTAGGGCAATATAGATGTAGAAAAACTACATTTTGAAGTGGAAGAAGTTTAAAATTTATGTCTTTTTGGTCTCACGGTTCTTTCTCTATGACGTATATAGCGTCTTGGCAGGCAGGTTTTCCCCCCACCCATTTAACAAATTGTTGGGTGCTTACTGTTGCCTTCTGTAAGGCAGTGAGGCTATAATAATAAATAGATATTGCCCTTCAGTTCATGAAGCTTGTAGTCTGTTGGAGAAAATAAATATTGAAAAGCCAGTCAAAACAGTAGTGAAAACAGTAGTGGAGATTTGGAATAATAATTTTTGAAACTGGCAAGGTTGAGGACTCAGCTAAGGTGGGGGATGCTAAATCAGTAATGGCGTCAGACCACGCAGCTGGGTAATTTTTCCCCCAAGCTCTCTGTACAGCAAAGACTTGGGAGACCAGAAGGTAAATGACCAATTCCATCCAATGTTGGGGATTTGCAAGAACCTTAGATTAAAAAAAAAAAAAACAACGATGAGGAAATGAGTTCCCTCGCCCTGTGGAGACATACATAGATCCCCAATGACAGTCATGATCCCAAGCCTAGTGCCTGGCAGTCAAGAAATTCTTTGTTTCCCCAGGTGCTGATTTTGCTAATCCTTCTGGCAGAGTTGTTTTTATTGTGGCTTTTATTTACTTACTGGAGAGAGAGGTGGCTGACAGTAGGGCTGTCACTGCAGGTAAGCATCATCCTGTGGGTCTAGCACTGACTGTCCAGGTGTATTGAGCCTGACTTTTGCCTTTCTCCCAGGTGTTTGCTCCCTTCATACACTTGATCTGCATATGTGTGATGACTGTTCTTTCCTGGCCAACGGTTAGTTACTTGATCCATTTGGAAAGAGAAGGTATGTCATGAGGCAGAATCTTGTCTGTTCCTTTTAGTTCTGGGTATAACTTACATACTGCACTATCACTATTCCTCTTTGAAATTCATTTCGCTTGTACTAAGGTCTCCTCCTTGTGTCAAACTCACAGACCCTATGTGGCCTGTCATAGTTTCCTTACCAAGCAGGCCTTCTTCTGGAAGATTTTCTAGAAATATTCTCCTTCTAGAATCTATGTCTCTATTATTAGACTTCAACTAGGTTGGGATGGGGACAGGACTAGGCAGAGGCCATTTTAATCTTAGTTGACCAGAATGACAGGACAAGTCAAAGCTCTTTTAGTTTGTATTCCGTATTACTAGTTTTACCTGATGAATTCAGACTAGGTTCAGATATCCCTGGTTATGTCCTAGTAACTCAGAGCAGACCCCTGTGAGTCCCTGTCACACCCAAGGACTTACAGCAGAAGTAAAGATTTTTATCTCTGCCATTGATTTCCTCTCTGTTCTTTGCCCTAATATCACAGAAACAAGGAAGAATCATAGCTGTAAACTAAATTATTTTGAGAATAGAATTGATTTTGAGATTAGAATTGTATCTCAGCACTCTTACTAAGACTCCATTAGATTTAGATTCTTCTACATCTCCTTTTTCACTTTTGGTAAAATAAGGAGTATTTGCTTCCCAGCTTGTAGGAGATGCAGACAAGAGGCAAACTGGATTGGTAGTGTTGCCATTAGGTGTTTATATTATGTGTATGCAGAGAGTGAATTTTTGGAAGTGTTGCTGGGGCAATAACTTAAAAGGGACAATAATGAATTCTTTTCTTTTTCACTTCCTAAATTTTAGTTCAAAGCAGAAGATACCAGATGATACATTATGGGAGAAAAACAAGGAAGAGCAATAATGTACTTGTAAAGTTGAGAGGTTAGAGCTGAACATCTAGATTTGAGAATGACTAAAGTACACATTGTAACTTAAAAATGTATGAATGGGTAAAATCTGTAGAGGTTTAAAACAGTAAGTATTCTATGATGTCCAGTGATAATAGTTATTGTGGACAGTTATTGTGGACTAGGTTGAGTCTAGCTTTGAATGCAGATTTGTGACAACCAATGTCCTTTCACTGTACTGCACTGCTGTACATATAGGGATGGTTTATATTGATCTTTACAAGTTTCAGGAGTTTCTCAGAACCAGCCAAACTCTCCCTCCTAACAACGTATTCCTTAACAATCCCAATCTTTCCTTTTCTTCCCACTTCCTGTTCAGTCCATTCCCTTCAAAGTGTGCAGTTCCAGCTAATGTGCCTTAATAATAATGCTTATATTGGGATAGTCCTGATGGCAGTTTTGTGATAGTTGCTGGGGATGACTCTCCATTCCTTTTTTTTTTTTTTCTTATTTCCCTCTCCTTCCAACTTTTTCAGCTATGCAAGTGGCTGTGGGATTGCCCTTTCTTTCTCTTCTTTTGTGTGTCTATATCATACCAATTGGAAAATATTCTCCCTGCATTCAGGAGAAAGACAAACTAGGACCCAAGCCAGACTTCTTTGGACACAGAGGTGCACCCATGGTAGGTCCAAGCATAATTATGGACATGGGTGAGTATAGGGGCGTGCAGTGTGTGGATGGGAGAGGGGACCTTAGAACCATAGGAACCCCTGGAGAGGAAATGGTTTGTCTTGAGATGGCAAGAAGGAGGAATTAATTGTAGAGACTGTACTTAAACCCAGGCCACCTAACTTTCAGTTCATTTCTCCTTAGTGTGGCCAGTGATACTGTCTCAAATAAGCAGAGCCCCAGAATCAGATTGGTTAGAGGAAAATACAGGCAGATTCTTTTAAAAAAGAGCCAAGGGAACCAAAGTTTGCTCCTAAATCCTTCCCTAACATGAAAGGAACATTTGGAGAGACTCGGGCATAGAGCCTGATGTCCTTTTCTTCCACAGTTGGGGCCTGAAAATACCATGATGTCCTTTGAGAAAGCTGTTGAACAAGGAGCCTTTGGATTGGAGACTGACATATACGTCAGGTAGGAAAGCAGGGCCTGGGGTGGGGAGGAGATAAGGCCAGTGCCATGGAAGGTGACCATCCTGGCCCAAGCTGTCAAGAGGGTAAACCCTGAGAAGTTTCTTCTGTGTTCATATGGCACATGTGTACATACCACACATATGAGCCACTTCTCCCTTAAAAGCTATACATCTGTACCACTGCTTTGTCAACCACAGGTTATAAATCATACATACTCTATATAATCTCCACACCCCATTGCAAACCATGCTTACAGCTTAACCCTATTGTAATACCTTAACAATCCGTATCTTCTCCTGAGTGCCAGGGAGATCCAAGTGAGTAAGATAATAGTCCTACCTAAGAGATTTTGCCAGCAGTGAAGGAGACATGACATGTTTACAGACAACCACAATGTAAGATCATTTGTGGTGAGTGCTTTCCAGAGAAGAATAAATAAATAAAATGCAGTGAAAATTCAGTAAAGTTCACTTCCTAATGTGTGATAAAGCTCTATGGTATCTAAATTTGTTTGGGTTGAACTTTGAAGGGAAAATACTATTTTATCTAATTGGTTAGAGAAAAGGGTACTTTTGGCAGAGGCAACAGCTGATTCAAAGGCTTCTATGTGAGAAAGAAGTTTATAGATCAGTGAGCTAACCTGTATGGATGCCAGAAGTGATATTCTGGCGATAGAAGAGGGCTATGTGAGGAGTAATATGACTGTAAGGCTCACTGAGGCTAGATCTCAACGATCCCTAGGTGTATATAATGGGCAGTCACAGCAGGTTTTAGAGGACAGATTACCTTATCACTTTAGGAAGATCATCTGGCAGTCTATGAGGGAAAATTGTGAGAGACGAGGGTATTAGGTGGTGGCAATATCCAAGGAAAACAAAGGAAGACTTGGATCACAGCAGAGATGAAAACAAAAAGACATGTTTTAGTGTAGAATCTATGTACCTGAACAGCTGTAAGTAGATAAGCATCATCTCTAGCATAATGACTAGCATATTAATGAATGTTGTGTGTACAAAATACCTTCATATTTATTCTCTGAGCAAACAGAACATTCTGTTTCACATGTGGTTTTAACCTGGGTTCAAAGAAGGGAAATGTATTGTTAACATCCTAAGACTAGGTGTACTTGGTAAAACCAGGATTAATAGATTTCCTGACTTAAGACCGGAGTTCTTAACATACCCGATAATGACAACTGTTCCATGCAGAATATTTGAATCAGAGCTCCTGGGTTCATTCAGGGAAGTGCCTGGTGTCATGGTATAACGTGGTAAAGGTGCTGAGCCAATGATTCCTGGTACATTTTCTTTCTCTCTTTTTTATTTCTGTGACCTCAGTTTTGGTGCGGATGATTCTTCCAGTCCTTCAGTTTCTCTGCTTATTGACGTCTGCATTTCTAATTATCTTCTTCTCCACATACTTTCACTACCCACGTTTATGGTCATACCCTAAGTCTCATCATTACCAAAATTTGCATATCAGAGTCCAGTCAGGGTATGAGTACCACCACACCAGTAATTTGAACAGGAAAACTGTAATATCAAGAATTACTAAGTGGTAAATTGTGGTTAACTACTAAAACAAACACTTAATAATATAGAAGTAGCAAAAGAAGCTAGTAGAGCTTTTGTTCTAGGAAAAATGGGGTAAGCACATTCTACCCTATTCTTTTCAAGAATTATTAAAAAAAAAAAAAAAACCCTGCCATAAAGTAAATTTAAAATCTGGACAAAATTCACAAAGCAATTGACAGAAGTCTGAAAGTTAGAGAAAAGAAGGTAAACTGGCTAGGGTTCTTAAGATTCCAGGAACTCCCTAGTAGGGAATGAGTTACCTCTTGTTTTTTTTTTTTTTTCATTTTCCTTATATATCCTGATATGAGTTCTGGAGAGACCTAACCCCAAAACACCAATAGATGCAAACAAAAAGATAAATCTCCAGAAAAGTCTGCTCATTCTAGTCAAATAACTAGGAAAAAAGCTGCCCAGCAGGATGTAAACATACTGACCATACCCACCCTTCTCAAGTACATACCACAAAAAGCATTTCCTCTTACCTCCTGGGCTGTGGCCCTGGAGACTGTGGGCAGATTCTTGCAGTCCATTCCTGACCTGAATTATGAGGTAGTACTCCATATCCCACATCCCCCTTCCCAATTTGAAAGTGAAGGGAGAGTTAGTGAGGAGTGATTTGTGTGTGTGTATGTGAAAGTATGCTTAACATAAAGTTAACCACTTGAATGTGTAAAGTTCTGTGGCATAAAGTACGTTCACATTGTTTTGCTATCATCGCCATCCATCTCTAGAACTTTTTACCTTCTCAAACTGAAACTCTGTATCCTTGAAATAGTAACTCTTTGATCTCCCCTCAAAATGCCTGTCTCTTGATCCAACAAATTGCATTCTAAATTAGTTAACAATTTTCTATTTCACATAACTAACATCATTCCTAGAAACTGTCATTATTTTCAGACAATATATTAAATAGAGAGAACTGGGCCTCCCCTGGTGGCGCAGTGGTTGAGCCCGCAGCCTCAGCAGTGCGTGTGCAGACATCTCCTGCAGCGCCCGCTGCTCCCGTCAGCAGTGTATTTTGTCAGTCTGCCTGTTCTGTTCCCCGCTCTGGCTCTGGTGAATTCTCTCACCCTCCCGTGCTTCTGACTGTACCCAGTGCTTGTATAAATAAATAAATAAATCTAAAAAAAAAATAGAATTCTTGAAAGCTCCCCTGAAAAGCTATTAGAAACAACAAATTAATACTGTAAAGTAGCAAGTTAAAAAATTAACATACAGGGCCTCCCCGGTGGCGCAGCGGTTGAGCGCTGGGTTGCGAAGCTGCCCGCAGCCTCTGCAGCGCCGGTTCGATCCCCGGCTGCTCCCCGGCACCGGAGGAGGGTCCCACATGGCACGCAGACCTCTCCTGCCGCCGCTGCTCCCTCAGCAGTGTACTTCGGTCCTTCTGCCTGCTCTGCTCCCTGCTCTGGCCCTGGTGAATTCTCTCACCCTCCCGCGCTTCTGACTGTACCCAGTGCTTGCATAAATAAATAAATAAATAAATCTTTAAAAAAAAATCTTTAAAAAAAAAAAATTAACATACAAATATCTGTTGCATTTTCATATACAAAAAATGAGTAAAAAGTCATCTGGACCTGTCTTAAAAATCTAAAAATGGAAATGCCATATGACCTAGCAATCCTACTTTTGGGTATTTATCCAAAGAATATGAAACCATCAACTTAAAAAAGTACCGTGCGGTGTTTATTGCAAAGTTATTTACAATAGCTAGGATGTGGAAGCAACTTAAGTGCCCAGTGATAGAGGATTGGATTGAGAAGATGTGGTATATCCACACAATGGTATACTATTCAACTATAAGGAAAGATGAAATGTTACCAATTATAGCAAAAATGAAAGGTTAGCCATATTCTCACTGTATATGGAGCAACACCTCACTGGAAAATATGGAATCATTTTCTGAAACAATCTTGCCCTTGTGTAGGTCAGAAGGAAAAATCTTGCCAGCATTCATTGGGAATCAATGAAAGTTGAAGCAGAGTTGACTGAAAGAAGATCCCAATAAACTAGTATAGACTTAATGCCCCCTCTCTCCACCAACTGAGTCTCTGCTTAACTTTTTATTATTATTATTATTATTTAAATTTTATATATTTTTTACATCATTTTCCATTTTTGCACAATGTATGCATTTTCATCTTGGTTATAGTCCCCATACAATTCCCATCCGCCTTGTTTTGATCTTACTCCTTCCCCTCCCCAAATCCCCCCCCCCCCTAGTGTGTCTGTGGTTTATAGTTGCTTGTTGATTTTGATTTTTACTTTATTATAATTAGTCTTTTTCCTGGTCCCTTATTTAGGTTTTCTAAATTCCTGCTATGAATGAGACCATCTGGTATTTTTCTTTTTCTTTCTGGCTTATTTCACTGAGCATGATCTGCTTAACTTTTTAAGGGCATAAATGTAAATATTGTACCTTCCAAGAGATGTGTGACAAAGATACCAGTTGTTTCTCTCGGTACTGCCTACACCTTAATATCCATGATGAACAAAATGTTAGATATTTCAATAAAGAAAGCAAGCCCTGTTAGAGCCTGAGACAAAAGGAAAAACCAGAAACATTAATTTTTATCTAGAGTTAAAATTTAATGTTTTGTTTATCATGGACTTTTGCATTACTTTTAATCTTTTTTTTTTTTTGATTTTTTTTTTTATTTATTTTTTTGTTTTGTTTTGTTTTTTTTTTTTTGTTTTTTTTAATCTTAAATTTTATTTTATATTCCCCCATACAATTGCAACACCCCATTCTGACCCCAATCCTTCCCCTCCCGCCCCCACCCCCAAAAAGTGTCTCTGGTTCATAGTTTTTTGTTGATTTTGATTTTCACTTTCTTATAGTTATTCATTTTCCTGGTCCCTTATTTAAGTTTTCTAGATTCCTGCTATGAGTGAGACCATCCGGTATTTTTCTTTTTCTTTTGGCTTATTTCGCTGAGCATGATCCCTTCCAGCGCCATCCATGTTGCTGCAAATTGCATGTGTTTATCTTTTTTGAATGCTGAGTAATATTCCATGGTATATATGTACCACATCTTCTTGATCCAGTCATCTACTTTTGGGCATTTGGGTTGTTTCCAAAGCTTAGCTATTGTAAACAGTGCTGCTATAAACATAGGGGTGCAGGTGCTCTTTGGAATTGATGTTTCTGTGTCCTTTGGGTAAATACCTAGGAGTGGAATTGCTGGATCATATGGAAGCTCTATGTTTAGTAGGTCCAGAAATCTCCACACAGCTCTCCATAGTGGTTGGACCAGTTTGCACTCCACCAACAGTGCAGAAGAGTTCCTTTTTCTCCACATCCTCGCCAACATTTGTTGTTGCTAGTTTTTTAATATGTGCCATTCTCACTGGTGTGAGATGGTATCTCATGGTAGTTTTGATTTGCATTTCCCTGATTGCAAGTGATGTTGAACATTTTTTCATATGT